TTATATATAAATATATTTTTATCATGTATATATATGCCATATTTTTTTTTTTTTGACAAAGAGTAATGGTTAGAAAGTTAGTATGAATTAATTGTTAGTAACTAGTTTTCAGATTGGGTAAACATTTTACCCCCCCTCAAATGAGGCGCATGGCCATCAAGTCAAGTGGCTTTTTGGTGGAGTTCACGACAGTGGTGAAACTTGAAATTCCAACTATCTCACTCAAGCACTTAAAGTTTAGTGTCAAACCATTGAATCTAAAGGTCCGATTCATATATATCCCATATTAGTATATATATTATATAACCATATATGAATGGGATTTTTTATTTTTTTTGTTGAAATGAAAGGCGTGAAATGCCATAACATGCAGGGAAAGGTATTTTCAACTCTAGGCTTCCTTTTGCTTTAGGAGGAGAGACCATCATTTTCTCTGCACGCATGTGGTGCATGTGGTCAAAAGTAATACGAATATTATTATATATATGTTATATTTATCGGGAGTGATGGACAAATTGAAACTAATTAATTAAATCGTAGCCGTACGTACGTGTGATGGTTAATTCCAGGAGATAATCGGACGGTGGGGGTTTGCGGAAAGATGGAAGGAGCCAGGAATGAGATCATCATCATCATCATCATCCATATAAAGTACGTACTGGGCTTCTGGGGCATGTTTGGACCATGGTAATTAAAGTTCGTAAATATATATGGTATAACAAACGAGGTGAAGTACGAGCGTGATGGCATCTTCAGCCTTTAAGGGCTTCATCGTTTATCCCTTTGGCTTTTCCTTTAACCTTTTATACCCAAACAAACCGGCCAAGCAGCAGCAGCAGCAGCAGCAACAACAACAGGCTGCAGCCCTACTGGATTAAATTACGTATCCCCATCCCTAATATATATCCCCAATGCTTTTGTGTGTGTATATATATATATAAAAAATAAAAACTGTTTTACATTTCGTTTTGTAACAAAATGCAAAATGAAAATCATCAAAGGAGGTAGGCCTCTGATATTGGATCCATCTCCCTTCTTTTTTTATGATCTTTATTTTTGCAATCCACTATAATATATAGCGATTGTAAAACAAAAACTTTATATATATATTCAATGGAAAATGATATGTGCACACCTGGATCAACATCTGGATGTGCACACTCCCCATTGAAAAAAAAAACCCATCAACACTCGGTTTAATTTTTTTTTTTTTACGTGGGGTACACACTCGGGTGTTGGATTCGGATGTGCACCAATTAAGGTCCATATTCAATTCCAAAGCACAAGTTTTTTTTTACAACATAAACGTTACTTATATATATGTATCCAATTCCAAAGCACAAGTTTTTTTTTTTTTTTTACAAGAAAAACATTTATTAAAAATTAGTATCTGTTTTTAAGTTAGCAAACAAAAGTTAAGACTGAGTGAGCTCTACCTGCTACTTTTGGAGTAACGTGGCTCATCCACTGAGCCATATAAAAGAGTTCCCAAAGCTTGAGTTTTTTAAATTGTATATATCCTTAACTATGAAATGGGTAAGAATTTTTTTGTGAATATATACACTAATATTTGTTGACATGGGTAATTTAGCACGAAACTCTTAGTTTTATTACACCGTAGTATGTTATTAAAACTTGTTTTTATATCTGATGTAAAAACACACTTACATGCGTTACTCAAGTACTATACTAGTACTATAGTATAAGAAGGATCGAGAATATATAAAAGGGATGGGTCATGTTAGTTAAATTAGGCAAGTGTTGGGAGAAAGACCCAAAAGAGATTTGAGGTGCATGTTGGGTGTGAACTCTGGAGTCTCCTCTCTTGGTCTCCCAACTCGACCCCTATTTTAGGCAAAACTTTATGTTAAAATTTTAAGTAAATTTCTAAATTTTTATTAATGTAAGTGAATTTTTAAACTTAACGGTTTAATAATTTAATTTTTTATTTATAGTAAATTTAATATTTATTTTTTTATTTATTTAAATAAAATATTAATATATTATTATTTAAGTGACAAAATATTAATTTTATCTATGTAAATAAAACACAAATAAATATTAAATTTATTATAAAAATATTAAATTATATAAATTACTAAGTTTATTTTAATAAATATTTAAAAATTTAATAAAAAATTCAAAATAAATTTAAAATTTTAACAAAAAATTTTGTCCCTATTTTAAGGGCAGAATAATGTTCTCTCCATGACCTCCCCCATTCCATTTCTGAAAAGGAGGAAAAGGGCCAACGCTAGGCCGCCTAGCTAGCCAGGCTAAGTAGGTACGTTTATCTCGATCAGTGACGATATTTATGAAGCAAAATCTGACGCAAACACACCTTTGAGCCGTTAAAGCAAACGACATGACGCTCTTTTTCTCAGCTTTAATTTGTTTCCTCCACAAAATCTGCCCATGACGTCATCCCCCCACAGTTGACTGCTTTCTTAATTTTTATTTATAAATTTATTTAATTTATATTATGTATATAAATTAAAAATATAATAAATACATTTTTTATTAT